GGGGGGGGAGCGGCGGGGAGGGGGGGGATCGGAGACTGCTGGGGGAGCCGGGGCTGCGGGGAGGGGCGGGGGGGGCGCGGGGAGTCGGGGCTGGGGGGTGCAGGGAGGGGGGAGCTGGAGCTGCACGGGGGGGGGGGAGCGGCGGGGAGGGGGGGGATCGGAGACTGCTGGGGGAGCCGGGGCTGCGGGGAGGGGCGGGGGGGGCGCGGGGAGTCGGGGCTGGGGGGTGCAGGGAGGGGGGAGCTGGAGCTGCACGGGGGGGGGAGCGGCGGGGAGGGGGGGGATCGGAGACTGCTGGGGGAGCCGGGGCTGCGGGGAGGGGCGGGGGGGGCGCGGGGAGTCGGGGCTGGGGGGTGCAGGGAGGGGGGAGCTGGAGCTGCACGGGGGGGAGCGGCGGGGAGGGCGGAATCCGGGGTTACGGGGGGGGCGGGGGGCGTTTTCTTCCCGGGCGCAGGACCGACCTCGTGGAGAGCCCTTGGCCTGCCCCGCGTTCCCAGCGCTGCTCGGAGCGCAAAGTGCAGGTCCCCGCGGCCTCGGTTCGGTGTGGGTCCTGGCGTGGGGTGGGGGTGGAGCTGATTCCGTCCGCGTTCCGGCTCCCCCCACCTGGTCCTCGAGCTCTGGCAGCTTTCAGCCGCGGAAGGAGAGTGCGTTTCCCCACCCACCGCTCTTGCCGGCCTCCCACTCAACGGTGAGCCCCCCCCCGCCCCCGCCCTAGGCCCCCCCCGCCCCCGAGCTCGGCCCAGGCTGGGGGCCCTCGAGGGCCCGAACCCTAGCTTTTGTTCTCTTTAACCACTGAGTAATCTAGAGAGTGAAATGGGCCTAAATTGGGTGGAGGAGGGCGCGGAGGGAGTGTCAGTAAGACCTAGAAGGCTAAATTGGGTCTGAAAACTCCAGAAGCACGCGGACTGAAAACTGCGCTGCAACTTCCCTGGGGAAGGTCGTGGCTGTGAATGTCGAGTGGCGGCTTGTTCCCGTTTGCGTTTACTCCCACTAGCAGATAGAGAGGTAATCCTTGGTGGAAACAGCAGGGTGTCCAGCGGCGAGGCGGCGCCTGCCTCCGGATCTGCCCTGGGATCACCCCGGGGTCGCCCTGGGATCCCTCCCACTCGGTGCCCACGTGCCTGCTAGTCTCGGGGAGAAAACTCTCCCTCCAGTCTGCTCCTGGGACCAGAGGGGTGTGTTCGGGACTGTCAGTGCTCCCTTGCCACCTGCTCCGGGGTGGTCGAAGCACCTGACCTGGAAAGGTGGGGGTAGTGCGGCCTTCCCCGTGAGCCCCAGGCCAAAAACCCAGCTCTTGCCTCTGTGGCCCAGACCTGAGTTCGAATGGTGACTCTGCTGAGTGTCCCCGAAGGTTTGGTTTTCTCGGGGTCAGCAGTCATTATGCCCTCTTGCTGAGTTTATGCAAGAAGAAAAGTGGGGTCCAAGTATGCGCAGGCCCGGAGTCAGAATCCCATCTGCCTAAGGGCCAAAGGGGCTGGTAGGAGCTGACCGCTCCCCACACCCAAACCCTAGAGGCTCCGTTAGAGATGAGAGGAGAAAAGCAAGTTGAAGACACTAGCAATGCGAAAAGATTGGGCAAGAGTTGTCCCCAACAAGATGCAATGGCCAATGAAAAAGGGTCATGAGAGCAGGCCAGTATGGTCCTGGAAAAGCGGAGATGGGAGGCTCCCATAAATTCTCAACCTCTCTCAACGTCTTTGAGATCTAGAACGAACCCAAAAGAGATTCGAAACAAGAAAGGGGGACACCTGGGTGGCTCAGCAGTTGAGTGTCTGCCTTCGTCTCAGGGTGTGATCCTGGAGTCCCAGGATGAGTCCCACATCCGGCTCCCTGCGAGGAGCCTGTCTCTCCCTCTGCCCGTGTCTCTGCCTCTCTCTGTGTGTCTCTCATGAATAAATAAATAAAATCCTTAAAAAGAAAAGAAAAGAAAAGAAAGAAAAGAAAAGAAAAGAATCCCTCTAGGACCAATGGCCCAGAAACCTGCACCCCAGGACGCTCTATGGGGAAGTACAAAATGGGGACAAAAGGCAAGCAGTCCAGCAACAGTGCACGACACCTTCCACCCCCCAGAATAGTATTCGAGTGAGACTGCCCTCTGCACCTGAAGGGCGCCCAACACGCTCCCTCCGAGCAGGAGACATCTGCTCCCCCAGTGTCCCTCCAATGGTAGAGCCAATGGGGGGCACTGGGCCAGGCGAAGCCCAGGCCGGCAGTAGGTCAGGGGCAGCAAACAGGGTGCAGAAGACCTGTTCTCCAGCTGTTCAACCAAGGCTCCAATAGCCTGTGATTTGCGCAATAGCAACAGAGAAAGGAGGGGCGCCTGATTCAAAGAAAGTTGGTTCCACCCTGGCCCTTCAGTGTCCCTCTGTACAATGGGAACGAGGATTCCGCCCACATCCGGCAAGGCTTGCAGTGGCTCTCAGGGAGGACACGGTGGGACCCCGAGACCAGATAAAGTGCCGCAGCAACAACCCGAGGGGCACGGGATTCCCAGCGGGCATGCCTTCGCGGTGGTACTGGGACGTCCAAGGCCCGAGCGGAAACCCTGAGCTCCCCATTCTTCTCTAGTGCTCTGCAGAGTGAAAGAATGCCCCTGAGGCGGAGGAGGGAGTGTGGCCACACAGAAGTGCTCCCCCAAGCCAGCCCGAGAGCCCCCCTTCACCCCTCTCAGATTACTGTGGAGCAAGGGCATCCCTCTGCTCTGAACCGTGGACGAATGTGTCGATTCTCTAGGGCACTGTCTCCTTGACTTTAGACCAAAATGAGGAAATCATCAAGATACTGTGATGTGACCAGATCATTTGGGCAAATCCAGCTTTGTGTCTGGATTATCAGAATTAATATTTCATGTCTTTACTTGATTCTCCAAGTGCCCTTGTAAGTTCTGCATCTCTGGATCCCTCGCTCTTGCTGTCTCTCCTTGTTCATTGCCTCTGGTCTTTTCTCCCCCCCCCATACAGTCTCTTGTTTTTCAGTTAAAGGGAAACTTGGAGTCATATTTCCTTCCAGAAAGATGCTATTTTCCAGATCTCAGTTGACCTAGACTTTAGGCTATTAATGGAGGTTCTCATAGATAACAGAATACAACAAACTTGCCACCATGAAAAAGCCTAGAGGACATGCTTGAAGTAGGAACAAAGGAGCAGAAAGAAGGCAAAACTGGAGCAACTGTCTCTTTTATATTTGATTTTCACGTGGGGTGGTGGTGGTGGTGGTCGTGTCTGTATCAGGCCAAAGCAGCTACCACTGTGGTGACAGAAAGACTTGGAATTTGGAGTCAAGACACCAAAAGGCAATACTGATGAAATACCTAGAGGTTAGTTTTGTAGTTGGGGCCCACAAAGCAGCAGGTTGAGCGCAGCGCTAAGGCAACGCAGTCCCTTGGTGCTGAGCCCCACCTCCCCAAGCCATTCCAACTAGTGCACCAGCCTCCATCAAGGGGGCTTCCTTAACCAAAAGGAAGGCTGGGAACTAAATCCAGGCAGATTTGAGGGTGGATTACCTTCCTCATTATTCCGCAGAGAGGGAGCTGTGTGGATGCTGGAGTTTTAATTACACACTTGCTTTTTCTGGGGAAGAAGACCCAGATCATATTTTTCAAAGTATCAACTTGTTTTCCATTAGGCAGTTGTTGAAACAAGTTCTTTCAGCGACATGTTATGTCTTTAGGAAGGGGTGCTTCAGATGGCTCGCACTAGCACAATTTTGTGGCTTTTAATTACTATTTTGTTCTTTTGGGGGGTTTCAGAGACTGGCGCCTCAGCGTGATTAGACCGTCTCCTGGGTCCGCTGCAACCGCACACACCTCCAGCAGGTGGCGCCACAAGGCAAGCACTGCCGCGGGACCCGAGGACTTGGGGGGTCCCGGAAAGGCGCGGGTCCCTCAACTCCGTGCCAGGCCCTAGGAAATACTGATATGGAGAAAGTCGTCACTTCAGATTTAAAAGAAGAAGACAAAAAAAAAAGAGAAGAAAAGAAGACATTGCAATGCCAGGGCGAAACAGGGTCCTTAAATTCAAAAAACCGTAAAATAGGGTTAAGTGCTTGAGATAAAACTTTTTTTTTCTATTTGTTTCTGTAAGTTCACTTGTAGTATCGAGACGACGCTCCCACCTAAGTATGATGCCACTTCTTGGCTGTAAAAACGTAGAATTTAGAATCAGAGCGAACTTTGAAGGCCATCTGGTCAATCTGGTTCTAGCATTCCAACCCAGAGAGGAAATCCCCGGGATCGCTTTTCGCCTGTCAGTTAACCATCAAATGTACATAATTGCTTGAAGTCTCGTCCTACCAGGAAAGCACAAAGTAAAAAAAAAAAAAAAAAAAAAAAAAAGGTTTCAGATATGCCATTGGTAATAACACTTTCGAATTTATATAGCTTTTCTCGCAAGCAACAAGGGGGGAAAAATCATTTAAACATCATCTAATTAGTTGCCTAATATTCCTGTGGGTTGGTTAGCAAGTACGTGGAAGTAGGTATCATTATACGTGGTTTAGGGATCACTTAAATCAATTGACTTTGTCAAGTGCGAGTGACCGGCAAGAGCAACTGCCAGACACTTCGAGGAAAAGCGGAGCTAGACCTGGCCCGCCTCTCGGCGCCGCTTTATTTTGACGGATGCTTGGAGGCAGAGGCCTGGGGCGGGAGGGTTCGAGCCGCTGGGACCGGGAGGCGCTGGTGCCCAGGACGGGGTGGGACACCCCATTCTCCTTCCTCGGAGGACGAGTGCCCGCCCCGTGCGCGTCCCGCAGCTCTGGCCGCCGCGACTCCCCCGCGCCCCTTCCCGCCGATCCCTCGCCGCGCGGCGCACGAGCCCCCCGGCCGGTCTGCACCGCGCGCGCCGCGCCACCCCCGGCCGGGCGGTCCAGGCTCCCCGAGCCCCGCGGCCCGGCGCTGCGGATTGGCTGTTGCTAGGTGACGTCGCCGGCGCTCACGTGACGCGAGTTAAATGCCCACCCTGCCGGAGCCCGCCCCGCAGACAATCGTAAGGCCGCTCGGGGCTGCTCACCTGCTCCCGCCTCCCGGAGCCCCGGCCTGGCCCCGCCGCCCCTGCCCCCTGCGCGGCCCGCCCCCGCCCGAGCCCGGGCCGGCCCCGGGCACGAAGCCGAGCGGGTGGAGAGGCGCAGAGAGGATGCGGCCGGCGGCAGCTGTCCCGAGCAGGGCACGGTGATCGCCTCCCCCGGAGGAGGAGTCGCCCAGACCGTTGCCCGGTTTCTTGTTCTCCTCCCCACCCTCCCTCACCCCCCCGTAATTACATTGGCTGCCGGAGGGGACGGGGAGAGACGGAGGAGGCGCCTCGCTTCCCGCCTCGCGCCCGCCGCCCCTGCTCTGCCCCGTCCCGGGCCAGGATGACTGGAGTCTTTGACAGTCTGGTGGCTGATATGCACTCGACCCAGATCGCGGCCTCCAGCACGTACCACCAGCACCAGCAGCCCCCCAGCGGCGGCGGCGCTGGCCCCGGCGGCAGCAACGGCAGCAGCCTCCACAAGCCGCAGGAGTCGCCCACGCTCCCGGTATCCACAGCGACCGACAGCAGCTACTACACCAACCAGCAGCACCCGGCGGGCGGCGGCGGCGGCGGCGGCGGCGGGGGCTCGCCCTACGCGCACATGGGCTCCTACCAGTACCACGCCGGCGGCCTCAACAACGTCCCCTACTCCGCCAAGAGCGGCTACGACCTGGGCTACACCGCCGCCTACACCTCCTACGCACCCTACGGGGCCAGCTCTTCCCCGGCCACCAACGAACCTGGTATGCACCGCGCTGGCACCGAGGGGGCCAAGTCACTCTAGCTAGCTATCGGGATGGGTGGGTTAAACTGCGTGGGGCGGGGATCCATCCGGAACCCCGCTCTCTGCCCGCCCTGCGCCTTTCACCCTTCTCAAGCACCCGTCTGCAGAGGGCCACTGCGGACGGTGTCTCGGGGCTCAGCTGGTGGGACCGGGGGGCCTTGGGGGGCCGGGTGTGGGCGCGCGGCGCATGCTTCGTGGCAACCTCATTTCATCCCACCTGCTCTCTTTCTCCCCGCTTTACTCCTCCGCCGCCTTCCCGGAGAGCCCGGCTCCCCGGGTCCACTGCGGCGCGAGTCCGCACTTAGCGAAGTCGAGTCCGGCGCCCCGCGGCGCCCCCGCCAACCCGCTCCCCGGCTCCGGCCAAGTCCCCCCGCGGCCCCCCCTCCCCGCGCCCCCTGCCCCTGCCCCCGGTTGCGCTGTGCTCACGATTGCCTTGCGTTGCAGAGAAAGAGGACCTCGAGCCTGAAATCCGGATAGTGAACGGGAAGCCAAAGAAAGTCCGGAAGCCCCGAACCATCTACTCCAGTTTCCAGCTGGCCGCTCTTCAGAGGCGTTTCCAAAAGACTCAATACCTGGCGCTCCCCGAGCGAGCGGAGCTGGCGGCGTCTCTGGGCCTCACCCAGACTCAGGTGAGGGCTCGGGGAGGGCGCTGGCCTGGGACGGCTGAGAAGCAGGCGGAGTCAGGGCGACGTTTTTGGAAAAGTATTTTAAAAGTAATTTTAAGGATTACGAAGCTGGCGCCTTGGGCGGCCTAAACTTCTGCGCCTGAAACTGAAATCCCGCAGGGTGGGGGGGCGGGGGGCGCCGGGGGAGAAAACGACAGGGCCGGGCGGGCCGAGACCCGCGTCCCCGGAGTTCTCCCGCGCGATCCTGATTAAGCGGGCGAAATAATTGGGCCTCCAGGCCGGGTCCCGCTGGCTGCATCGCCGCAGCGCGCACCCCGCTGCCCCTCGGACTCCCCGGGATGAGCCCCCGCGGCGTGGGAGCCCTCCCAGCGCGCATCCGCTCGCCCGCCGCGCGTGCTTTCCCCGCCGCCGCCCCTCCCCTGCCCGCATCCCGGTTCTTCCACTAACGCTCGGGTGTGCCTTTTCCGCCAAGGTCAAGATCTGGTTCCAGAACCGCCGGTCCAAGTTCAAGAAGATGTGGAAGAGCGGTGAGATCCCGTCGGAACAGCACCCCGGGGCCAGCGCCTCGCCCCCTTGCGCCTCGCCGCCCGTGTCGGCGCCGGCCTCCTGGGACTTCAGCGCGCCGCCGCGCCTGGGGAGCGGCGGCGGCCCGGGCAGCGGCGGCAGCGGCGCGGGCAGCTCGGGCTCCAGCCCCAGCAGCGCGGCCTCGGCCTTCCTGGGCAACTACCCGTGGTACCACCAGGCCTCGGGCCCGGCCTCGCACCTGCAGGCCGCCGCGCCGCTGCTGCACCCGACGCAGACGCCGCAGCCGCACCACCACCACCACCACCACCACCACCACCACGGCGGCGGGGGCGCCCCGGTGAGCGCGGGGACGATTTTCTAACCCGAGCGAGACTGCGCCAGAGACTGAGAGAGCGGAGACCGGCGATCCTCGGGGCTCGCCCCAAAAGCCAGAGGATCCCTCCAGCTGGCCCGCGGACGCCTCCCACCCTCGCGGAGGAGCGGCCGGGGACGGCCCGCCGCGGGCCCTGCTCCCTCGCGCGGCCTCCGAGCGGCGGGGGACTGGAAGGTTCCTGGAGGCCCTGCGGCCGCGCCGCCCGCCTCGGCCGCCTTCCGACCGAGCCCCCGCCTGGGACGTGGCTCCCCTCCCCTCCCCTTCCCGCCCCGCGCGGCGGTCGGGCGCCGTCCTCGCCGCGGGCCACGAGCTGAGTCCGGGGGAGGCACGCCTCCCCCGGCCGCGAGGCTTCCAGGGTGCTCTGAGGCTCCTTTCTCCCTGCCCGCCCCCAGGCCCAGCTCCAGTCCCCGGGGCTGACCGACCTCCCCGGCCCGCGCGCCCTCCCCCTGCGCCCCCGTGACCCGGGCTGCCCGCCGCCTCCTTTCAGCCCCGCTGTCTCCAGCCCTCGGAGCCCCCCTCCGCCCCGCCTTAGGTCTCCCCCAGGAACGCGCTCCCTTAGCTCTCTCCTCATCCATCACCAGTGGAGTTTTTTTATTTTTATTTTTTTAAAAGTTTAGGTGCCTTTGCGGATGACCTCATTTTGATGTTGGGGAAAAATGATTTTTTAATATGTGGACACTGCAAAAAAATGTGTTTAAATTATCTTTTTTAAGACCTATTCAGGATTATTAGGCTGGACTTCGACATAGAGTTTGTAAATAAAGGTGTCTGTGCAGATTTTCCCACTGATTTATTTGTATAAAAATACTCGTCTTTTCAGACTTTTTGTAAACCCCCCACTTGTGAAAACTGCGGTTTAGCAGTGACCTCAGCAACCTCTCCATTTTTATTTTTCCCTTTGAAAATTTTCTCAGTTACACTAAGCTACTGATTTGGTTTTGTTTTATCTTATCCTAAAGTCTTTGTTCTTGAAATGAAAGGTATTTTGGGGTTATTTATTATGAAAACAACATGCTCTTAATGTTGATTTTACAATATGAAGAGATTATTTAAATAAATTATTGTTTCCATTGGATGTGTGCGCTCGTTCCTTGGTGTCCTTGTTCCTTGGTGTCCTTGTTCCTTGGTGTCCTTGTTCCTTGGTGTCCGGGCAGGGAACCTGGCCAGCCGGGAGTGACATCTCCGTGGTTCAGAGGCTGTGACAGCGGGGAGGCGAGGCGAGAACAGGCGCGCCCCGCGCGGGCCTCCCCGAAACGCTCAGGCCGCGCGGGCGCCCGAGTCCTGGCGCGGGGTTCGCGGCTCGCCGCGCGGTGAGTCACCCAGCGCCGGGGCGGCTGCAGCCTCCGCCCGCCGGGCCCCTCCAGCGCCGGCGCCACTGCCTCGCGCCTGGGCGGTCTCGGCCGCCCCCGCACCGGTGGGGCCCGCGGGGCAGGGCTTCCGAGCGGCCGCGCGGACCCTGCAGTAGCAGCCCGAGCGGGGTCCGAAGAAGCCGGGCCGGAGGGGGACCCCTGCCTGGGGCCCTCCCCTCCGTTTGCCCCCCGTGGCCCTCCTGGGGCTGGCTAAGCCGGAGAGCTCGGTGAGTCACCTCGGCCCTCTGGGGGAAACTCGGTTGGCTGCTCTGGAATGCAGGGCGACCCCGGCACACAAGGCCGCGCTAAGACACATACAATCCCACACTGTGACTGACGCTTAGAGTCACATCTACGCATCACATATGCTCATTCGTACACACACTCACAGTCACACTCCCCCTGAGTCACACACACAGATCACTGACAGAAATCCACGGACACGCATATTCATATTCGCAGACACTGGTGCCCAAACCCACATAAGCACACTCGTGCATACAGGCACCTTCGCGCAGAGACTGAGACACATTGCTGTGCGAGTGGCATCCTCACGCGTGATATTCTCTGAGGGGACAGGTCCACAGGCCATTCACCTCTGCCTTCCACCTTGGGTCCCACCCAGCTAGCTTCCAGCTTTGGAAGTGGCCCTACTTTCTGTCATGATCTGAGAAGGCCAGGGCTAGGTGGGTAAGTCAGGCCTGAACTAAAACTCCCTTTCCTTCAAAGCGTTGAGGCCTACAGCAGAAGCATCTTAGTTTGCATCACGGACTCGACTGGGTGACTTTGGGCTCCTCTCCTCCCCCTTACCCTGTCTGCCGCAGTTCACAGATCTAGGAGATAGGAGAAATAACAGCGATCTCCGAGTTTTTGTAAGCATAGGACGAGACGGTGATGTAACACAGTGCCTGGCACATGGGAAGCGTTCATTCTTGCTGTTAGTAGCAGATTGTTTTATCCCAATGCCCCCCAAACAGGGAGGCTTTACTTCTGCCTGTGATTCTGAGCCTCCCCCCCTTACGGAGGGCACTTTCCCACTTCACCTCCTGTGGAAGAGCAGCACTCCAGGGCTGAGAGAGCTCAGCTTTGGCCCCTTCTTACAGGAGAACCTGAATCTCAGCCCTCTCCTGTGAAGGGACCAGCCTTTAGGAGAGAGGAAACTAGGGGCAGGCCAGAGAGCCCTGCTAGGGGGACACCCAGGCTTCCTTCCTCTCCTCCAGGATGGCGATTCAGGCCATCCCGGGTGTCTTCAACTCACCTCTGCCAAAAAAACAGACATGAGATGGGGGTGACTTTCTGGGTTCAGTGGCACCATCCTTAGACAAGTCCTGTCTTTTCTGACCAGTTTCCGGGCCTGTATGGAGTCTAGCTTCCACCAGAGTGTGGGCAAGGCTCTGGGAAAGACAAGGGAGGCTACAAATCCAGTGTCCATTTCCATTCCTGCATTGTTTTCCCAGGCTAGGAAGGCCTGAGCTGAAGCTCATTGACCCCGTGATTCGAGCTTCTCTAAGCAGCGGCTGCCTAGCAGACCCCCATTCCTTCCCTCCCTCCCCCCAGCTCCAAATTCCGTGGTTTTCTTTGAGTGCCAGTAGCTGGTGCCAGCCTTCCTCCTGCGGTTGAATGTGCCCTCCCCTCCTTTGCGCGCACTCCCCTCCCCCTCCTGAAACCAGCGAGGAGAGACGGGGCAGTAAATTGGCTGGTGTCGAGGATCTGCAGCAGACAAGATGATTAAGAGGCCTACGCCGGAGCGCCCGGGGCAGGGAATGTCAGCCCAAGTTGGAATCACGCAACAGGCCTTGGCATGAGCGAGCCTGGGAGCCGGGAGGGCGGGCGGCCCCAGCTCCGGGGTGGGCCGAGGCCCCACAGACTCGCTGGAGTCACCGAACCTGGCACCCGGCGGCGGCGGGGTCGCGCCAGGCCACGGCGCGTCTTTCCCCGGGAAGCCCGCGAAGCAGAGAGCGGGAGGGTGCAGGGGCCAGAGGAAGGGGGCGTTTCCGCAGACGGAGAGCGGGGCACGCAGCCGGCAGAGCGAGGATGCGCCCAGGTCCCCGAAGTGAGGGGGCGGGGAGGGGGAGGGGCGAGCGAGGGGACAGACAAAGCCCGGCTGGGGGAGGCCGGGGCCGGCTCCAGCCCCGCCGGGGGCAACGCGCTGGCAAGCCTTTCTCACAGTCTGGGGGCCCGCCGGGAGACGCGGAGCCCTGTGATCAGCCCGCCGCCGCGCAGACACGCTCCCCCCGCGCGGGACTGCGCTCCCCAAAGCGCGAATGAAAAATGGAAATGGGAAGCCGCGATCTGGGCTCCCTGCACTGGGAAACCGGTCGCGCTCGAACACACATAAATCTTCATTGTAATCCCCTTCCATTCGCTCGCGTGAAATATCAGGCCAGAGACAGGATATGACAGGCGCTGGGAAGCAGGGGGAGGGAAGCCGAGGAGTGAGGGGTGCGCGGCCCTCTCTGCTCCACCCCCTGGCAGGGTTGCTGGGGACTCTGGCCCAGCGCGGGGAGAGAGCTCCCGTTCCAGGGGCAGGCAGCCTGGGCGCGCCCTCTTCCACTTCCCCTCCCATTCCCGCCCCCCCCCCGGGACCCCCCCCAATCCCCCAGCGCGCGCGGGGCGCAGGCCACCCAGCCCCGGGTGCTCCACTGGGCGTAGACACCCCCCCCTCCCGCTGCCCCGAATTCCCGCCGCCCGGCCCCGCGGCTCCCGGGCTGGGGCGAGCAGAGAAGAAAGGGGACGGATCCCGGGGCTTAATCAGCGCGGCTCGCAATGTGGGACCGTTTAGGAGGCTCCCCCTCGGCTTGCTTTCAGGATTACTTGTGAAAATTGTGAATATCCGTCCCATGTAAGAATTTCCGAGACTGGTGGGGCGAGTTTGGGGAAAGTATCAGGTTTGATGGGGGCGGAGAGTGCTCCTAGAAAACTGGAGCTTTGTTTACAAACAGTGCAGCGGTGGAAGCGAGGAGGAGGGACAGAGGGGTAAAGGGAGGGGTGAAGACGCGGGGGGATGGTCCCCTCCCGTGCTGGAAGCCCCGGTGAAGGAGGACGATGCTGGGGTTCAGAAGGCCCTCTTGCCTTCCAAAAACAGAAAGTCGTGCTCACTGACGGTAAAAGCCAGGAGCAACTCCCCCACTCCCACTCCGCCCACCCCCGCGTCCGCGTCCCAAGCACCAGCTCAAGAGTCAAAAGCCGCCAAGGAACAGCGCCCAGCAGTGCCCTAAACCTGTTTAGGATCAGAGACCTCCTGGAGAAGGAAGCTGCAGATCCTCCCTTCCTCCTAAAATACCTCCCTTGCATTCGATTTTGGGGTCCCCAGAAGCCACGGGATGGGGGCGCGATCCTGCTGTTCCAGTTGCCCGCGGGCCCCCGGCCCGGTCCGACCAGGCTTTGCGGACGCGCGTGGGCTCTGGCAGGGTCACGACACCCGAAATAGCCCCGAGGGATACTTCGCTGGGCCGGGACCTCCCTCTGCACCTGGGATCGGCCCCGCTCGCTCCCCGTGCCGCCCCGCCCCCGCTCTCCCCCCGCCCCCCCGCGCTCCGAGGCCCCCCTGGCGGGACTTCCCCTCGCGGGGACGGCTTTGGCAGTGATTGCCACATTACAAGATGTTACATTCCGCCCTGGGGCCTGGGGCCGGGCCGGGCGGGGGAGACAATGTGTT